TGTTTGTATATTTTGTTTGTGATACAGGATGTCAATAATTTGTAGAGTGTTGGAAGACATGTAATTGGTCTGTATTGTGTGGGATCTGTGGTTTTGTTGTTTTTAGGTTTCATGTAGGTGATGCCTTGAGTAAGAAATTTTGGCATGTCTTGTGGGTTGATGATGATGTGTGTTAGATGTTTAGCTAGTTCCTGGTGCAGTGATGTAAACTTTTTGTACCAGAAATTGTGAATGTTGTCTACACCAGGTGTCTTCCAGTTGTGTGTTCTGTTTATTGTGGTTATTATTATTATAATAAAAAATATTATATTACTGTCTGATTTTCAAACATACAATATAAGTTTTGAGTTACAGAGAAAAATTTTTAATTCAAATCATTTTACCATTTCAGTATTAAGTAGTACAAACTACCACAGTTCATTATTTATTAGTTTAGAAACAGATTATGTTTAGTCAATAAACACTTAGAGAAAAATTAAATTTATGAGAGATGCTCAAATTGATTGCCTTCAATAGTTATACAAACTTTACATCTATTGATAATAGAATCATTTAATTTATGATGTTCTTTGGGGTCTTTGAAATATTTCTGCAGCAGCTTCATGAATTTGATTAATTAATTTATCACAAATTAAAGCATTTGCAAATGTGACAGCAGTTTGTTGCCTTTCAGTGCTAACTACATTTAAAACTGTGAATGATTTGAAATACAGATGTAACTCAGTTATTGTTGAAAATTAGATAGGAGTGTATTAACATTTTTTTAAAGTCATAATTTGAATAATTGAAAACCCATAAAGTTTTTCCCATCACTTTTAAATCATTCTGTTTTTAAGATTATAATTTTCATTCAGTTTGATGTACAACATGCTTCAAAAAAATATTAACACTCATATGGAGAATGTTCAAATAAAAGAACAGGCCTACTCCTCTGCCACAGGGCAGAGGAGTAGGCCTGTACTTTTATTTGAGAATTTCACAATTGGGTCATGACTTCTTGCACATGGAGAACTATGTAGAGAACCTGCCTCTACAAATTTTGCACAAGAAGTTACTTCCTTACTAGTGTTAACATTTTTTGAAACATACTGTAATAATATTTTAAACAGTAGATAAATTGGAATTTTTAAGTATATAATGTTAACAATATAAAATAATGAGATTTAAAAAAGGAATTATACAAAATTTTCTAATACACATTCTCATTTTTCAATTTACAGAGGATATCACTTGGGAAGAATGTCCTCAACAACAAGCTTTAATCATTAACAAAGATGGAAAAATTCGGTGTCAGGTTTCTGCCAATCCTTCACCTAGTGTTACATGGTATAAAGATGGCAAACCCATAGAAGATGATCGCTACGAAACAGCTGCTGATGGTATAACTGTTAAGAATGTTGTACCAGCAGATGAAGGTGTTTATAGTATCAGAGCCATGGTAACACAAACTGGAAGATTTCAAACTAAGCCAATTAATGTTCAAGTTCATGGTAAATATTTTCATTTTTTTGCAGTTAATAACAACATTATATTATAAAAAGGATTTGCATCCTTTCTGATTATTTCAAAATAATTAAAATGAGACCAGTTATTAGTACAATTTTATTTTTTTAATTTATATATTTTATATACTTTTGTAATATTTTTCTTTTTATATGGAATTCAAATTCCTATGTATGGATGATTATTGATAAGTGATTTTTACTTTCACTATATCTATACATTTGGTTTGTCTGAGTAAGGAATTTATAAATATGTGATTCATAATATATTGTTAACACTAAAATATATTTAATAACTTGAGACTTAAAACTTATATAACTTTTATCTTTGCTGATTTAAAATGTGCAATGCAATTGTGAGGTCTCCGAATTGGGGATAAACAAATGTCAGAATTTATCGGATATAGGAATGCAAAGTGAGAAGACAGCTGCAGTTACAAATAAAACCATTTATTTATGCTAAATCTTACATTCTATAGTGCATCTTGTCAACTGTTGGAGCTGGTCTGTAGAGCTGATAGCCTTGGGGCGGTCAGTTGAGATGTTTCTTGAAGTGTTGAAACCCAAAACATTTCAAGGCAGAATGGTGAAGTTAGGGATGAAGAGTCTGTATATAGAGCACTGAAGACTAGGCAGATAATTCACAGCATGAGACAGAGGAAAGTCTGCCTTTGTTCTTGAGATCGAGGCTTTTAAAGAATTCTTTCCCAGATCTCTAGCTTTCCAATTGGTCAGTTTTTTAAGTCTGACATGTAATCTCCATGTTACATCTTTTTTTAAGGTTATTTAAAAACTTTTTTCTTGACTAATAATTTTATTCCTTTCTGATTTTATTTGTATTTTGTTTTTGTTTCTTCCAGTTTTTCTTTTATGAGTGCCAGAATTAAAGCCCAATCCCCTGATTTGACACTTTTATTGAATTTTTAACATGTGAGCTCAAATATCGCTCAGGCCTCACACATTATTTCAGGAGACATTTCAGATCTTTAACTCAAACATCTTGATAACAGGAAAAATGTGACTTAGTGAGTTTTTTAAATTGGGCTCTTCAATTAAAATCACTTAATATCAAATATAACAATGTTATGAATTAAGTAGAACCATGTTAACTCAAATTGGTCAGGGGGAAAAATTCAGACTTTGAGTTAAAATATTTCAAGGAATTCAAGTTAATCAGTTTGATTTAACATTGTGCTAGATGATTGGGGAAAGAAAATGACTTCTAGTAAATGCAACTTTAAGTTATTTAGGTTCCATTGTATTTTGATTGGTTCTAATTGATATGTATGGATGTTAAATGATAAAAAGTTAACCAACATATTTTAAATATTTCTAAACTGAAATTAAATGATTTGACAGATCCATAAATAAATTGATCAAACATTATATTGACAAATAAATACACTAATACCAATCTCCATTCAAATTTAATTAATTAAAAACCTGATGATGACCATTTAAGACAGTTCAAAACATTTGTCTCCTTATTGAAGTATTTTGCTGGATTTTTGGTATTTGTATGTTTAATTGAAGTACATCCAGCTGTAGAAGCAGTCTATTTGTTCTAGTGACAAAATACATTTATATCATCTCATATCTTTTCCTATCATTTTGCATTATTTGAATGTGTCAAATGATGTCAATTGATATTTTTATTGGAGAAGCTATCTTCTAGACATCAAATAATTTTAAATCTAGCTTAATACCAAGAATATTATGTTTCATTATCTATATATTTATAGTATATGAACAATCTAAACTATTAAAAGATAATTACATATAAAATAATTATCATATGATAAATTTGAACAACTATGTTTTCTTTATCTATCTGAAATTTAACTAAGTCTGTTTGATCAATTACATGTCAATAGTTTTGGAATATTTATATGACAGCAACATTAAAGTGCAAAGTATTATATCATTTCTCAGTGATGTCCACACTTGTCTGTGTTTAGTTATAACGATGTTTATGTTATAACTAAAGTGTTAAATTTTTGAATTACTTTTTTATATTGTAATTCCAAAGTTTGATATTTTGTCATACTTCTAACAATAAACATAAAAATTGCTATTAACTAGTTGTATGTTAATGATCAAAATTATTGTATGAGGATATAAAAAAATTGTATGAGGGGTTTAAATCATCTGTTGGCATCAAATTTTTGCTATCTGATGGTAAATAGAAATTGTAGTGCTGCGTCACTATATTTTTTGTTTTCTGTCTTTGTATATGTTTATGCCCTTTGTGTAATATGTTTTGTTATTCTGTGCCTGATATTGTAATTGTGTAAATGAATTTTATTAATTTTCCATTCTGGTTGAACCGCCTTTGGGTGGTGCCGCCTGCCATGTAACGATTGGCTGTATGTTGACCATGTGAAGCAGGTGACGTAGCATGATGGCGGGATGTATAAATTGTCATCCCATGTGCGGAGAAGGCACCTTTTTTCCTAACCAGGACTTGGGCCAGGTGTACAGAGGTGTGTTGGAGTGTGGAGTGAAATAGAAAGAAATAGGGACACGACTCGGTTTGGGCGAAGGATAGAAAAACGCTCGAGAAGCAATCGAATCACATTGTCGGAACCGTGTGGCTGAAACTATTGCAAGCAGATTCCTGAATTCTTAGACAGAAATTTTGTTCTCATACTAAGGAGATTCGACGAGGGACCTTCAACTGTAAAATAATTGTAATGTCTTTTTATTTTTTTTGATCATCTCCACGAAAGGAGCGTATATTAATTGTCGCAAGTACTTGTATCTAGTAGTAGTTAGTGTAAGTTCAGATATATTGTCTATTATTAAAACTTTTTGAACTGCAATCCAAGTTGTTGTTTATGTAAGGTCCTCATGCACACATTTTACCCAACTGATTGTCTGGAGTATTTTCAATACTTCCTGGACACTACAAAATATTACTAAATTCAAAACTGCTTATGATAAGTACTACATAAAAATAATGAATTCATTTATTAAACAAATTGTTGGGGTGTAACTTAATTATTCTTACTTAATGGCAAATGAAATATTACATTTTTCCATCATATAAATATTCCAAAATCTATAACTGCTGGACTTGGCTGGCTTAGCTGGTAAAGAACTGGAAGAGATACCAAAAGGCATACTAAAATTCATTGCTCAATCTTTTATATTTTTCAACAACTTGATTATTATTTTACATTTCTTAACAGACTTCTTTCCAGTATATTAAACAGTTTAGGATTATATTACTTAATTTCAAAATTTTGAATTTTATTTTCATTATAATATTATAATATAAATGAAGAAACAACTCTGATGATTATTATAAACTAAAGTAGGAATTGCAACTGTTTTGTTTCTAAAGGTGCAATAAAAATTTTAAAAACCATTGAGCAAACATAGTTTAATTTTTGAAAAAAATTACAATGTTGTAATAAGTAAACAAAATAATTGTTTTGAAATATGTATATTTATACAAAATAAAGATTATACATGCATGTAATTACTAAAAAATGAAAATTACAAGTATATCTATTTGCACTAGTGTGACTATGGTTCTAGAGGGCATATCTGAAATGTGCCATGAGTGCCATGTTGCCAACCCCTGAATCAAAGAAAAGTTTTGAAAAATGTACGTGAAACAATTTAAAAAAACAACAGAAATATTTTTAAAAAAAAACTGAAATAAGAACATTAAAAATGCAAAAGTTTTTAATGTTTATCTTAGATTTTTTAAATACTGTATTCCTGTTGTTTTTGTTAATTGTTTTAGTTTATGTGTAAATTTTTAAAATTTTTCTTTAGATTATAATAAATTTTTATTTTTTTGCCAAAAGTATTGTATTTCTCATTCCAGATTCCAATGATGAGACAATATAAAGTCATTTAATAAACTGTGCTTTGTACTTCTAAACTAAAATCTGTTTAATTTGAATTATGTTAATTTAAAAAAAGATTTGAATTCTGAAATTTAGAAAGTAGTTACAAAAGTCAAAAGTTGTATAAACTTGATCATATCGACTTGACCATTCTGAGTTCCTTTTTTATCTAAATATTTTAAGTTAATCAAATTCAAATTAAAGTATCTAATTTTTAAAATTATTAAGACATTGTAAATCTGCATATTCCAATAGAAAATCATATATTCATTAATATTTATATAGCATAAAGATATAGTGTATAAAGATTAATATTTATATATCATAAGTGATATCTAATAATACCATTTGGTTTAGCAGAAAATATTATCAAAAAATATTAACAATTAAATAAAGAAATGTTTTTTTTTTTTTTAATGATGATATTTACATCGTAAACATTTTTGAAGCATTTAAGCTTTATTTTCAAATTCTTGTTAGAATAGCAGAGAAATTAATTATAGCAAATTATAAACAACTAGTAATTAAAAAGTAGAAGAAAGCTCCATTCTTGGATCTATGGATACAGATACTATAACTTTCTGTATATAAATAACACATTATTTTTTTAACTGAATAACTTTGTTTAATGTTCTCTCACGTTATACTTTTAGTTTTTTATTTTATCATGCTCTGTTGATTACTTAATGTTTTAATAACTCTATTTTCTTATATTCTATACATTATAGAGACTGTTTTATTACTGTATGAATTGTCTAGATAACCATTTTAAAGATTTTTTATAAAACAATTTACTTTCATTTAAACAAAATTTGAAATGAAATAATTTTGTTATATTCATTTTCAGTCATTTTATACATTAAAAAGTTGGAGCATGCCAGTGTTTTTTCAAGATTCAGGCATTCCTCACTCAATGATTGAGTTCTGTTCCTACAACTAGGTTGTTAAGCAAATTGGTCAATAAACAATGAGCTTAGTTGTTTTTATTTATTCTGGATAAAGAAAAGGACTAAAGAAAATTCCAACTTGATAACTTGGTTTTAATTTGCCTCTCTTACATATTCATATTACAGAAAATAAAAATACAATCAGAAAAAAATGATAAAAATGATATACCAAAAAGATTTA